CCCCCCCCCCCCCCCCCCCCCCCCCCCTCTCCCGCCCAGCTCCAGCTCCAACAGTCTGTAGCTGGGAACAGCCCTGGCCCCAGGGCAGCTCCACCTGCCAGATGTAAAGACCCCCTCCCCGTGCTCCCACGTCCCTGCTCCGAGCCCAGAGAGGGGCTGCTGCAGAAAACCCAAAGCACTTAAGGCTACCTGTTCATTTCAATTTAGGTACTAAACGTTACCAAAAGTATGGTCTATTTAGCATTTTTACACTTGACACGCACATTTTACATAGAACACACACAAGTATGACTCAGGTTTACCTCACTTGGCGAGAGTGATGGAAATGCACGTGTGAGGCCAGGTGCATGGCTCTCCTGGGGCAAGCCATACGTGCAGGTGGCAGCTCAGGCCCCCACTCCAGGCTGCAATACAGAACACCGGGCATGGAGCCCCTTTGCACCTGCTGGCACTCGCCTCCCACAGCCCCATGGTATCCCCACGTCCCGTCTGCAGACCTTGGCCAGCACTGGGCGGTCGGGGCTGGAGAACAGTGCTAGAGGCACCTGGAGCGGCTGCTCCGAGGTGGGATTTCACTTGTCAGCTTATATCCAGCTCTTTTGCCTGCAAAGCCTGCAAAGGCTCCTCACAGTGTAGTGAGACGAGACCATGCAGGTGGTGGGGAGGAGGACGGGGTGAAGATGGGGACCCAGATTCAGAGCTGGGACCATGCAGGCAGAGCCGAGCAAAAGCGAGGGGGGCAGCCCCGCTGATCCTGTGGCCGGCCGCTATGCCCCGTAGGATCAGTGGTGACATCTCCCCTACCTCTCCCCTGCCACATGTGCCAAAAGAGGGAGAGGAGAGGGAGGCCGGAGGGGTGGGGTAGATTGCAGACTACGCACACCCCTTGTCCTTCCAGAAACTGGAGCTGGCGCTGGTGCCCCTGAGTGCCCATGGCAACTTCTATGAGGGGGACTGCTACGTCATCCTCTCGGTGAGCACCATCTCCTTATTCCCAAGAACTTCTCCCCTGAGAGCCAGTTCCCGGGTTCCGCTGAGATCTGCTGTTGACGCTAATCAGGTCCCTGGTGTCCGTCTTGGTCTTTCCTCAGTGTTTTACAGAACAGGCCTCCAGCTTGAGTCTCAAAGCCCGTTCTTAGGGGATGGAGCCCTCAGTCTGAACCTCAGCGGGTAGCCCGCAAGCATCACCTCTCCCTCCCAGGGCTCAGACCCCACATTAAAGTGGTGTGGAGGAAGGTCAGGTAAATACAAGGCCGTGCCTCAAAGTGCTCGTTCTAGTTGAGGAAACAATATCCCACAAGAACGATGCCAACAGAGCCACGCAGATGGACAGACCAGCGCTGTGCCAGCTGTGTAAGGGCAGGGGGGCAGCAAGGTAAGTCTGCCCCCTGCCTTGGAAAGGATCCTCACTGGTCTCCATGTAGTTTGAGAACAATAAGCTGTCAACTTGCCCCCAAGGTGGGAGGAATGTGGGCTGCTGGAGCTTGGGCCACACAGCAGGTCTGCACAGAGGCCACTGCCGCAAGGGAGAGAGGCCCCGAGCCCCCCTAGGGCGGGACACGAGCCACCCTATGCTGTGTCCCTCCCACACCGGAGGGGCCAGCAGCAGAGCAGGGGTAGGGTGGGTGAGCCGGCCCCCGACCCGATCTCTCTGGACATCCCAGACACGAAGAGTGGGCAGCCTCCTCTCCCAGGACATCCACTTCTGGATCGGGAAGGACTCCTCCCAGGATGAGCAGAGCTGCGCGGCCATCTACACTACACAGCTGGACGACTACCTGGGAGGTAGCCCTGTGCAGCACCGAGAGGTCCAGTACCATGAGTCTGACACCTTCCACGGCTACTTCAAGCAGGGCATCGTGTGAGTAGTTACGCCAGAGCAAGGACATAAGTGGCAGCTTACCCAACAGGAAACCACAAAGGCCAATAAATATGTGAAGGGTCCAAGAAATGCAAATCAAAACAAAGCTATCACTTCCACCTGTCGGAGAAGGCCGGATCAGAGGGCCGGGTGGTGGCAAGCGGTGGCAAGGCCGTGGGGAAATAGGAGCCCTCGTGCCTCCCTGGCGGGGGGACCGCCATAGCGTTCTGGAGAGCAGTCTGCTCCGCGGAGGCAAATCCCACTTCTGGAGGCATGACTCAGAGGACTTCTCATACACCCGGGTCTGCAAGAGCTTGTGAGCCAGAATGTCAACAGCAGTGTCATTAGTGGTGGCAGGAAGCTGTAGGCCAGGTAGAGTGCCCACACCTGGGAGATTGGAGAGGAGAACTACTCCAGGACGCCAAGGAGCACTGTGTGGCAGTTGGAGACAATGGGTCAGACACACGCCTAATGTGTGGGCGGGTCTTACATCCATGGTGCTCCTGAACAAAGACACAGACTTGAACTACGTGACAATGCCAGTTTCTGTTTTTAAAAAATATACGCCCACCAAACAACAGGACACACTTATCACGATGAAAAGAAAAAGATAGTTGTTCCACTGTTGGAAGGGATGCCTGTGGGAGGGAGAGGAATGGGCGAGCATAGGCAGATAAAAGGGAATACATATATACTGAAAACGAGCGAGGGGTCTTGTAAAGGACAGTGCTGATAATGTCCCATGAACGGAGGAGTTTAATTAGCTCCAAACTTTGCACTTGAGATCAAAAACAACAAGAGGAATTCAAACGAGCTGGAGAAATCTGAGGCTGGTCCAAGGCTCGCCTCTTGCAGGCTGGCAGTCCCCACTGACTGGGGACCTGCTGGGCACAGAGCACCACAAGGTGTCACCAGGGAGCCCAAAGACAAACCTGCTGCTCCGGGGTGGCTTTCTGCATGCCCTTCAGGTGCAGGACCCTGGGATGGAGGCCGGGTTGGGACAAACACCAGGGATAGGAGGGCTGATTCCTGGAGAGAGGGTTTGTCTTAAGGCCCGAGTGTCATTGATGCTTCTGCTGCTCCCCGACTCGTGCCCCTTTGTTTGTCACATGCTGATCTTCAGACAGTTGCTAGAACAAAGCAAGTTCATGCCACAGGGTCTTCCTCACTGACGATGAACCCTCTGGAACTCTAGCCCTCTGTCTGGCGGGTTCCTATCCCTCTTAATATATTAGCTTGATTGCCATTCCTTTAGAGAAGACTGCCCTGACCACTCTGTCAAAAAGTCTGTCACTCAGTCTACTTCTGTGGCAGCCATGACCACCACTCATGTTTACCTGCTTATGTCCTGTTGTCGCCCCTACAGGCAGAGGCCGCAGCTGTGTAGTTTACAACGGTCCCCCCAGTACCCAGCATGTGGCAGGTGCTCGGTAAATAACTGGCTGTTATTTGGATATTCCCACAGCTACAAGAAGGGGGGTGTGGCCTCCGGGATGAAGCATGTGGAGACCAACACCTATGACGTGAAACGGCTGCTACACGTGAAGGGGAAAAGAAACATCAGGGCCACCGAGGTAAGTCCTCCCCACCGTCTGTCTGCTCCACCTGGCGCCTAAGAATTCCTCCTGAACAATGTCTGCTTCCCATCTGCAGGTGGAAATGAGCTGGGACAGTTTTAACCAAGGTGATGTCTTCTTGCTGGACCTTGGGAAGGTCATCATCCAATGGAATGGCCCAGAGAGCAACAGCGGAGAGCGCCTGAAGGTGTGGTTCATGGGGCTTGCAGTCTCTCAGTTGCCTTTTCCTTTTTCTTTCTTCCACTGGCTCTTCCCTTGAGATGCAAGACAGACCTCTGCCTTTGAGTAGAATCTGTTTCAGAGACAGGCCAAGTGCGTGAGTCTGTGACTCACTCCAGGGTCCTAAGCATCAGAATAACCCCTATGTCTGGGACCCGGGTTGCTCCTCCCAAATCCAGCAGGTGCAGAAGGGGCCCTGGTGGGGCTAACTGCTTCCTTGGGCTTCTTTGATAGGCTATGCTTCTGGCAAAGGATATTCGGGACAGAGAGCGAGGGGGCCGTGCTGAAATAGGTGTGATCGAGGGAGACAAGGAGGCAGCGAGTCCGGAGCTGATGAAGGTCCTTCAGGACACCCTCGGCCAACGCTCCATTATCAAGCCTGCAGTCCCCGATGAGATCATAGATCAGCAGCAGAAATCAAACATCATGTTGTATCAGTGAGTAACTAAACCTACATGCTGGCAGGAAGCTGGGGTAGGGGGAAGATGTCTCCTGGAAAACCAAGCTACCTGTGCTTGGCTCCTCATTTTGGGTACAGGCGTCTGGCTTTCTTTTAACCCTTTTCATATGCAGCTTCTAGATGGAGCTCAGTGTTCCCCACCCAAGGAGGCAGCTACTGTCTATTCTTGTCAGCAACCCTTCCTCGTCTCTTGAGGAAGGTCTTCCTTTACTTGAGTCTATACATGCCCCGGGAGGTGGAAGAGATAATGTTTGGGAGAGAGATGCACAGCAGTCTTCTAGAGAACAGAATCCATTACATTCTTGTCTGCATTTAAGCCACCCCTGTCATAAGAAGTCAAAATTTATCCAGAAACTCCACACTAAAAGCCAGCAAAAATACCAAATTGACTACAAACGCTTTGTAGAAGAGAAGGCACAGGCTAATTTCTCCCCTTTTCCAGTGTCTCAGACTCAGCTGGGCAGCTGGCAGTCACAGAGGTAGCAACAAGACCACTGGTCCAGGATTTACTGAACCATGATGTAAGTAGAGCTTGGGTGGGCTTGGCGTCTGGGGCCAGCCCTGGCTTTAGAGATCTTCCTTATGTTCCTCAGTGGCAGTAACCACTTTTATCCCCTACTGCTTCAGGACTGCTACATCTTAGACCAAAGTGGGACCAAGATCTACGTGTGGAAAGGAAGAGGGGCCACAAAGATTGAGAAACAGACAGCCATGTCTAAAGCCCTGGTAGGAGCCACAGGCGTATGGTATTGTCCCCAAAATTCTGGTAGTAACACTTCAGACATGTAGCCATATTCGGAACCGGGGCATAGAACATCACAGTCACGTATGTGAACTTCAGTCTGATAGACAAACTAGGATTCAAACCCAGGTTTGCTATACATCTCCGGTATTTGGAGGATTCTGAGGGTTCTGAGGATTAAATAACATTTGCAAAGCACTTAGAACAGTACCTGGCCCCTACCCCTGCTCAGAACACGGCTGCTGTTATCGAAGAGGATGTCCCATCACGCTTGACAGCCCTGTCCTCAAGAAGCTTAGGATGCCATGCAGGCCCATGCAGATGAGCCCAGCAGGATGCGCTTACAAAGCAGTAAACGAGCAAACGAATTTGACACGAAATCAGTGGAGTACGTGAATGCTGCAAGAACATAGTATAGACGATCTTGCAAAAAATAAAAATAAAAAATTAGTCATAATCATGACAGCCCAATCAAGAGATACTGGCACTGTTCCCTCTGTCCTTCCCTTGAGACAGGTAACTTGGCCACTACACATAAGTGAGTTAGGATTTGATTCTGACTCCCAGCAGGGAGCAATCCTATCAACTGGCTTCAAAGGGGTGAGTGAGCAGCCAAGCAAAGAACCCAGTGTATTCCCTGATTGACCTGCCTTCCGGGGTTGGGGGTGTCTGCAGAGCTTCATCCAGATGAAGGGCTACCCCAGCAGCACCAACATAGAGACCGTCAACGACGGTGCCGAGTCGGCCATGTTTAAGCAGTTGTTCCAGAAGTGGTCAGTGAAGGACCAGACCACCGGCCTGGGGAAAACATTTGGCATTGGCAAAATCGGTGAGGCTGCTCCTCAGATCGCCTTCTCACGGCTAGGACTCTCTAGAAAGGCAGTCACGGGTGCCGTTCACTCACTCGGCTTCTCCCAACCCCTTCTCTGCAGCTAAAGTTTTCCAGGAGAAATTTGATGTGACCCTGCTGCACGCCAAGCCGGAGGTGGCTGCCCAGGAAAGAATGGTCGATGATGGCAATGGAAAAGTTGAGGTGAGTCAGTGATTCACACTTCAGGGTGGGGGGGAGGGGAGAGGGGGGCGGCAGGCGGCACTGGCCCTCCCGGCTGTCCTGCTGGAGAGGAGGGAGCAGGTGATTCCGTGTCTGCTTTGGCACCCCTCTGGCACCTCAGAAGCAGTCTCTAAGAGGTGTCTGAGTCTGCAAAGCTTTCCCACAGTGCCTCAGGGACGTGAAAGGCTGACAGCCCAGTGTGCTCTCAATAACTCACCTGGCAGATAGATTCAAATCATCCCCGAGCCGTGATGGGGCGCACCTGAGCGGGAATGATCCGGTTCTCCTCGGGATTTGGATCCTGCAAGTGTGATAAGCCCTCACGGCGAGGAAAGAAGAACCAGGGAGGGAAGGTGTACTTTTCAGTGGACGTTAGTGTCTTTCCTGCCGCGTTCTCTGCTGAGCACGGCCCAATCCCTTCCGGCAGCTGTCCCTTCGAACAGGAGACCCATCCCTGGGAAATTGTGTCTCCTTCTGCACCCAGGTCTGGAGAATTGAAAACCTGGAGCTGGTCCCTGTGGAGCATCAGTGGTATGGCTTCTTTTATGGGGGAGACTGCTATCTGGTCCTCTACACATACGAGGTGAATGGGAAGCCACATTACATCTTGTACATCTGGCAGGTAGGCCTGAAGCAGGCTCTTAGCCCTGGCTGCTGATGCTTCCTCTGGCCCCTGAGTGGGGGCAAGGGGTGGCGGGGACCCATTTCTCCCCCTCTAACCACCGCAGGGCCGCCGCGCCTCAAAGGATGAGCTGGCAGCCTCGGCATACCAGGCCGTGGAGGTGGATCAGGAGTTTGCTGGGGCCCCTGTGCAGGTTCGAGTTACCATGGGGAAGGAGCCACGCCACTTCATGGCCATCTTCGAAGGGAAGCTTGTTATCTTTGAGGTGAGACCCCCTCAGATAAGATTACACCATGAGCAGGAATGCCCAGAACTCGCAGGTCAGCAGGAGGCTACCGAATCGGAGAGGAGGGAGGGAGACCAGGGCTTGGGGCAGACACAGACAAGAAGCGGGTTAATCTCGGGGCAGCTGGGCGGCTCAGCACAGTTCATGAGTTTGAGCCCCACGCCGGGCTCAGCACTGGCAATGAATGCATGGAGCCTACCTGGGATTCCCTCTCTCCCTCTCTCTCTGCCCCTTCCCCGCTCGTGTTCTCTCTCCCTCCCTCTCCTCTCTCTCTCTCTCTCTTTCTCAAAAATAAATAAACATTTTTTACAAAGAAGAAGAAGGGGAAGAGGGTTAATCTCTCCAAGCCATTCAGGTGAATCCCGACTGCCTAGGACTTTAAGTCCAAACCACTGCCCAATTAATGTTCAAGGTCCTTCATGATCTGACCCATATTACCTCTGCAGGTGTATTACCCTCAGCTCCCTAACCTACACACTTCACTCTAGTGAGGTGAGTCTCCTCATGAGACCTCACGTGTGCCACGCGTCCAGCCCCGCCATGTCCAACCCTCCCTCCCCCACTGGATGTGCCCTTTCGAACTCAAGTCCCACTTCCTCCACGAAGCTCTGTCCGAAGCAACACCAGGAATGTGTAATGTCATTTGCTTGATATCACACAAGCCTGTGGTCAAGTCCTAGCCTTGTCATTTATTAACCAGATTGCTAAGCCTCAGTTTTCCCATCTGTACTACAGGATAATCATACCTACTTCACATGGTTATTCTGAGGTTCCGTGAAATAATGTAGGTGAGGTGCTAACCACAGAGCCTAACAGACAATAAAAGTCTCAGAGTGGGAGCTAATATTATTGGCTCCGTGATGCCAGTTCACCTGACCTCTTCCAGTGTGCATGGCAGCTCCCCGTGGGCAAAAGCAGTGTTGAATTCATCCACAGTCTCTACAACGGCGACCCCAGAGCTCCGCTCACGTGGGGCTCCAGAGAACCAGATTCTGCTCTTCTCCTCTCTAGGGTGGGACTTCCAGAAAGGGAAACGCTGAGCCCGACCCTCCAGTGAGGCTCTTCCGGATTCAAGGAAACGACAAATCCAACACCAAAGCGGTGGAGGTTCCAGCCTTGGCCTCCTCCCTAAACTCCAATGATGTCTTTCTGCTGCGGGCCCAAGCAGAACACTACCTGTGGTACGGCAAGGTAAGACGTCTGGCCCCGGTGGACACACCGGCCCCTGGGAGCCCTGCCCTGGGCCCTCCCTCCCGTCAGCGAGGCCAGAGGAACTAAACAGTAGGCCGGAGCAGTCCTCAAGAAGATGAGCCTTTCCCTAAAGGATCTTCAAAGAGTGCGAGTGTTTCTTGCGATTAGAAACTCACTGACCACATTGCTCACACCCAGGAGACACTCCATAAGCTTCTACACAGACAGAGGCTGGATAAGCCAATCCTTCCACACCGGTCTGGTGGAATGTAACAGGACAGGCATGAACATTGAGCAAAAGCGCTAGAACTGCGATTCTGTCCATTCAGATCGCATCTATGTTAAAAAGCACTAACACTTACAAAAGAGAACGGAGCTGGGAAAGATGCTCAATGCCACACTCACCGGGGAAGGGCAAGTGAAAACCACAGAGATGCTACTGTACAGCTAGGAGAGTGGCTAAAAAAAAAAGAAAAAAAAAAAAGCAGACAATATCAAGTGCAGATGAGGGCACAGAGCAACAGGAACTCGTGGGCATTGCTGGTGGCAGTGCAAATACAGCCTTTGGGAAACAATTTGACGGTTAATCTTATAAAACACACACATACGATCCGGCAGCCCCACGCCCGGTTTTACCCATGTGAGATAATAAAACTACCTTCACACAAATATGCATAGCACCTTTATTCACTAGCACCCAAAATTGGAAGCAACTCAACTAGAAAATGAAAACAGCGGTATATTCATACTACTATTCATAGTAGAATACCCCTCGGCAACGCAAAGAAAAAAGCTGTTGATACTCACGACAAAGCTGAATCTCAAATGCGCTGTGCTAAGGAAGCCAGCCTCAAAGGCTACACAGTGCGTGATTCCGTGTATAACATTCTGGAAAAGGCAACAGTGTAGTGATGGAGAACAGACCGACGGTTGCCGGAGGTTAAGGACGTGGGGAGCATCTGACCACAGAGGGGTAGTCCGAGGGAATTTTTGGCGGGGCTGAGGCAAATGTTCTAGACCTTCCGTTTTGATGGTGGTAACGTGATTCTGTGTGTTTGTCAAGGCTCATAGAAGTGTACACCAAAAAGAGTGAATTTTCTTGAATCTTTTCAAATTTAAGTTTTTTTCTCTTAAAAAAGAATCCGAAGTCGGTGCTAAAATTCCAAGTGAAGCCAAAACCAAGGGGGCTCTTGCCGACTTCTGTGTGGGTTTCAGAGTCCAGTCCTGCTCTCTGCCACCACGCTGCTTTCCTCTCCCCCGCCCCTCCTCTCCCAGCACTAGAACAAACCCCTCTCCCCCTCCTGAGGCGCTGTGGCTTTGGTAGCTGATCCCAGGACACTCTCAGTGTGGCTTCGCCCCCTACGTCAACGCATCTATGTACGACTAACCCCTGTGCTCTCCTCACCCCACTCAGGGGTCTAGTGGGGATGAGCGGGCAATGGCCAAGGAGCTGGCCGGCCTTCTCTGCGAGGGCACCGAGGACACTGTGGCCGAGGGCCAGGAGCCGGCTGAGTTCTGGGACCTGCTGGGAGGCAAGACTGCCTACGCCAATGACAAAAGGTAGGGAAACACAGCGCCCCCTCGTCTGGGCTCCCCCTGCCGCCCAGGCTTGGGAACTGCACAAACTCTAGGATGCCTTTCCGTTTTAAAAACCTGATTTCCACGTCGCTCAGTTCCTCTGAATGGACTGTATTGCAGACTACAGCAGGAAATCCTAGATGCGCAGCCCCGTCTCTTTGAATGTTCCAATAAGACAGGGCGGTTCGTTGTCACTGAGATCACAAACTTCACCCAGGATGACCTGAACCCAGGTGATGTGATGCTCCTGGATACCTGGGACCAGGTAAGACGCAGCCAGAGAACGAGTGGCAGAGATCCCCACAGTTGAGGCTATTTTTTGTGTACTGCCTCCCCTGTCAAGGATAAACCCAGGGTAGCTCTGGCCCACCCTCGAGTCAACCAAACATTCGTCAAGGGTAACCAAAGGAAGAGCCCACTCTTTGCCAGGGATGGAGAAATCAGAAGGTTGTTTAGAACTGCCGCCTTGGGGATTTTCCCACTTTGCCCTGGGAAAATCAGGCCATCTTATCGTCAGGCGCTCCTTTCTCTTCCGCCAACAGGCTCCACACTCGGAGATATGGGCCTTTTAGGGAATATAGGGCTATAAAGGGGATATTTTCGGGGCAACCCCTCCCTGACATTCAGCTCAGCACACATACTCGGCCCCTCCTTCATGCCAGTCCCTGCGGTGGGTGTAGTGTCACCAAGGTGAAGGGCCCCTGCTCTCAGAGTTTACAGACCGATGGAGGAACTGGACATAGAAACATCCTTTTGCTATGATGGGGGTGTGAGGTGCCGCGGGAGCACAAATTAGGGGCACGCAACACCGTTTAGGGGCTCAGAGAAGACTCCTTAGAAGAGATGGCTCCCAGGCTGAATCTCCAAGGACCAGTAGGCTCGGTAGAGAGGTAGAGGGAGCATCCTGGGCAAAGGAAACAGCACAAGTAAAAGCAAGGCACGGAAGAGTCTAATACACAGGGAACTACCATCGACATCCCATCAAGCCATAGAGTTAAGGAGTTAGAGATGAAGCTAAGAAGTAGATTACCTGCCGTACCCACCAGGCCCAGTTTGAATTTCATCCTGGAAAGCTACTGAAATTTAGGCAGGTGAGTGACATGGTCACTGTGCTTTCAATAGATCATTCTGGAAAGTAGGAGAGGAGGGATGGCGGCGGGGGGGACGGGACAACAGAACACTGCACACTGGGAAGCCAGTCAGGAGAGTATTGTAACAGTCAAGTAAGAGCCACCATAAGCTGCACGGGGGCAGTGGGATGGTGACAGATTTGCCAAATGCCGGATACAGGGGCATCTGGGATGACTCCCGGGGCACTGCCCGAGGTGACCCGATGGATGCCATTCACCAAGAGTGGAGACACAGACCCAAGTCTAGAAGAAAAGAGCCGCCTTTGGGGGTGTTGTAGCTGAGGTGCTCGGAGACCACGATGAGGGGGGGTCCTGCAAGAAGTTGGGTTCAGGAAGCTGAAGCTTAACGAGATCTAGGAGACACATGCGCAATTAGAATTCTGGGAAAACTTTTCTCTCTGCTGAACAAATCAAGCTGGGAAAGTTCTCTGAGGCTGTGACTTGCTGAGGGGGCAAGATAGGGCAGGGTATATGGTCTGGTACCTTGTCCTTGATATAAGCACATGAATATTCCACCTCTCCAACAGGTATTCTTGTGGATCGGGGCTGAGGCCAATGCCACAGAGAGGGAGAGAGCCCTCACGACGGCCGCGGAGTACCTGCACACTCACCCCAGTGGCCGAGACGCTGACACACCGATCCTGATCATTAAACAGGGGTTTGAGCCTCCCACCTTCACAGGATGGTTCTTGGCCTGGGACTCGCATATGTGGAGTGTAAGAACAGAGAGCATGGGCGAGATATCCCTACCGCCTGGGAGCTGAGCGCTGGTAGCTCAGGGGGAAAGTGGGGTCCCGACTTAAGGGCTGAGTAAATCCAGGACCACATTCCCCCCGCCCCCTCCCCACTCCCTGCTTTTTACTTTCCTTCTCTTTTCCACCCACCATGGCAGTAAGTCCAGTTAGGGAAATTCACAGCTTGTCTCAGGAATAAGCAGTGCGTGGAGGTAATGGTTTATAACGTTTACCCACACACATCACCTTTTTGAGGTTCACAGCCACCCTGGCAGCTGGGGCATTTGTAACCTGTTTCCCATGTTATGAATGAGGAGGCTTAGAGGAGAGGGGTTTTGTCTAAAGTCACTATTAACCAATAGGAAGAAGCCAGGATTTCTGACTCCTAGCCGACCTCTCTGTCTTCAGTCTCGTACAGAGGATTAGGAAACACCAGCAAAGAGCGCAGATCATGTTTAAGTACCTTCCAGCCTGGCCTTGACCAGAAGGGGGGATTTTCATCTGTGCTCCCCCCCACCCCACAATGTCTTCTGATTCCCTGATTCTTTCACCTGTTTGCTCTCCTTGAGGGTACAGCCTAGGCCTGAGGCGTCACTCCCCGCAGAAACAGCACCGCGTCCTGTTTTGTATCTGTTTCAGGCAGGGAAATCGTATGAACAGTTAAAAGAAGAGCTGGGAGACACTGCTGCTATCACAAGAATCACCGCGGTGAGTTGGGTTTACTCTTGGAGAAGCAAGCGGAGCCCGAGAGAAACGGCAAATGCTACAGACGTCATGTGGGCAAAACCCTATCTCGTCCTTCTTAGTATCACTCTAGTGGTCCATTTTGATTTAAGATTGTTGGGGTGTTTTTTAAGTTTATTTATTTTGAGAGAGCGCGAGGATGCAAGCGGGAGAGAGGCAGAAAGAGGGAGACACAATTCCAAACAGTTTCTGCACTGTAAGCGCAGAACCCAAAGTAGAACTCGAAACCACAAACTCAAGAGATCACAACCTGAGGGGAAATCAAGAGTCAGACGCTTAACTGACTAAACCACCCAGGTGCCCCCAGATTTAGGATTGTTTCAATCAACAGAAAAGCAGGTCTCAAAGCCAAGTCCCTCATTTTACTGCCTTCCAGAATTTAGAAGAAACTTGCTGCTTTAAAAAGAAACAAACATTTTTATTCATTTATTTTTTTTAATGCTTGTTTATTTTTGAGAGAGAGTGACACACACAGAATGAGAGCGGGGGAGGGGCAGAGAGAGAGAGAGAGAGAGAGAGAGGGAGACACAGAATCCAAAGCAGGCTTGAACTCACAAACTGTGAGATCATGACCTGAGCCGAAGCCAGACACTCAACCGACTGAGACACCCAGGCACCCCCTTAATGCTTAGTTCTTTTGAGAGAGAGAAAGAGCACAAGGCGGGGAGGGGCAGAAAGCGAGGGAGACACAGAGTCCGAAGCAGGCTCCAGGCTCTGACCTGTCAGCACAGAGCCCGACAAGGGGTTCAAACTCACAAGTTGTGAGATCACGACCTGATCCAAAGTCGGGACGCTTAACTGACTGAGCCACCCAGGCACCTCCCCTCCACCAAAAAAAAAAAAAAAAAGAAAAAAGCCGAACATATTTTTAAATATAAATACAAGGAATTACGACCTATGAACTACCTGGTATTATGAACCAAATTTTTTGTCCTCCAAAATACATAGGTTGAACTCCTAACCCCTAACGTGATGGTACTGGGAGGTGGGGCCTTTAGGAGGTAATTAGGTCATGAGGGCGGGGCCTTCATGAATACGATTAGTGCCCTTAAAGGAAGAGCTATGAGGGCTTGCTCTCTGCTCTCTGCCATGTGAGGATACAATGGGAAGATGCCACCTGCAAGCCAGGAATCAGCCTCTCGCCTGACCTAGGATTTGCAGGCATCTTGGTCTTGGACTTCCTAGCCTCCACAACGGTGAGAAATAAATGTTTGCTGTTTAAGCTAAACAACAAACAAAACGAAAACGACAAAAACAAAAACTAATTTTATTATTCAAGTCTGTTATTCGGGACAGATTACACTGACTGGTGGTATTTTTCATAAACAATAAGCTTTTAACCTACGTGATATGCTTACCGATTTCTGACAGTCAGGTCCACAGAAACTCAGGCCATTACCCCCGTTTTAATGGCTACAGGAAGTGGAGCCTCTGGCCAGGAATCCAACATTTCTTTAACATCAGGATGAGTACATGGTACCAGGTGTCCAAACCATCTGCAATTCTATCCTTTGTGCTCTACAAACTCAAGATTCCAAAACTGATGGTGATGTAGTATCTTTAAAATATATGTAGGAATAGTATGACTTCAGGGCTCCTGGGTGGCTCAGTCAGTTAAGCGTCCTGACGTTGCTTCAGGTCATGATCTCACAACTCATGAGTTCGAGCCCCGCATCGGGCTCTGTGCTGACAGCTCAGAGACTGAAGCCTGCTTCGGATTCTGTCTCCCTCTCTCTCTGCCCATCTCCCGCTCGCATCCTGTGTATGTGTGTCTCTCTCTCAAAAATAAATAAACTTAAAAAAAAAAAAAAAAAGAATAGTATGACTTCAATTGAGAGTCATTTAAAGGCTGGAAATGTAGAGCTTAAATACAAGTGCCAAAAGAAGGTATGTGATCACAGTATTTAAATGAGATGTAGGCACAGCGTTTATGCCAAAATGGCTATACAGGATTTACCCTAGACTTAATCAGTTTTCCCCAGAAGGACCCCAAAATCTGAATATTTCAGCTTCCCAGATGATTCTGACATGCAGTCAGCTTTAGGGACCATTGTTCTAAAAGGTGATCACAAAGGGTGCAGTGGTGTAAGCCGAAATATTAAATGTTATACATACAGAACTTCAATTGCACTGAACCTGAACAGTCTTGTATCCCGTCTACGTTCTTACCTTGCCCAGGACATGAGGAATGCAACCCTCTCCCTGAATTCTGAGCCAAAATATTACCCTATAGAAGTTCTGTTGAAAAATCAAAATCAGGAGCTGCCCGAGGATGTGAACCCTGCCAAAAAGGAGGTAAGTAGCTAAAGGAGCTGCGTCTAATGTGAGTGGAGCTCTCCATGAGGAAAGCACCTGTCTCAATCTCCGGCCTAGGAGGACAGCTCTGGCACATTGTAGGCCCCTCAACAGACATCTGAGCTACCCAGTAGCTCAAGACAATACCCCAGGCTCCTTTTTTTTTTTTTTTATCACCTCTCACAGCAACCCATCAGCTAGCCTCTGCCCCCTCCCCTCCATCTCTCTGCTGTCCAGCCATCATGGACGACTGCAATAGTCCCCCAACTGATTTCCACCCTTGTCCCTACGATCAGTTCCCCACATAACAGCCAATAGGCTTTTAACACAGGTAACACTGTTCTGCTCGAAACACCTCACGTGGCTTCCCACTGCAATTAGAACAGAATCCAAAATCCCTTCTGTGGCCTCCAAGGCTCTACACAGCCTGGCCCCTGCCCACCTCTCTGATTTCACCTCATCGACCACTGCCTTCTTCACTTCCCACCCCCTCCGGCCTGTGGCTCCCTTTCTGTCTCAAACCTGCTCATCCCAGCCTTCAAGCCTTTACACTTGCTACTGCTCCCACCCAAAAATACTTTCTTCTCTCAGATCCTCACAGAGCCAGCTCCTCCACACTGTTTAGGCCTCAGCGTCAATGCCCACCCCCGGAAAGGCCTTCCCTGACCACCCCGTCAAATACTGCTTAAGAGTAAGCTCCTTGTCTGTCTCATTCGCCACCACATTCTCCGCTTTTCAGCACCTGTAACAGTTCCTGCCACAAGCAGGCCCTCTTTTAAGTTTTGGCTGAGTGAATGAACACGTTGAATTAATTAACTCATTTTCCCCTTGAAGGAGTTGATTTGGGAAGGGCCTCTGGGTTTCCCCCAATGTCTTACCCAACCAACTCTTAAGTATCTGAACTACAACTTTCTTGAAAACAGAGGCCGTACCTTCATTCAGACAAAATATTCAGTAAGCATCAATAAATAAACGTTAGGAGAATTTTATGCGCTCAACACGATCCACTTGATCATGCATTTGGAAATGTCTGGTTAGGGATGCCTGCGTGCCTCAGTCGTTTGAGCATCCAACTCGATTTTGGCTCAGGTCATGATCTGTGGTTCGTGGGATTGAGACCTACGTCGGGCTCTGTGCTGACAGTGAGGAGCCTGCTTGGGATTCTACCCCGCCCCCCCCCCCCCTGCTCACACACACGTGCACACGCTCTCAAAAATAAACATTAAAAAAAAAATGAAAATGTCTGGATAAAAATGGTAGATAAGGGCATGAAGCACGGAAAACCATCACTCAATTCAGTTCTCCATTCAGCCAAAACCTAATGTCTAGAATTCATCATATATAACCCATTCTTGTTCTTCTGGAAAAAAACTGGTGCCAGGTGGGACCATGAGAGCAGCAAATCCAGTCAGCTTCTCCTCTGGCCAAAATGAGACCCCACAACCTAAGAACTCTTCAATGAGTAATTTAAGTCTATTACGGACTTTCTGAAAACTTCACTCTCTTTCCCGCTTCAAAGACACTCTCTGGCTCTACCCTCCCCACTTCTGCTGGCATTGATAGGTGCCATGTTTTCCTTCTAACTGGAGACTCTGTTTTCTCTCTTAGAATTACCTCTCTGAACAGGACTTTATTTCTGTGTTTGGCATCACAAGAGGGCAATTTGCTGCTCTGCCTGGCTGGAAGCAGCTCCAAATGAAGAAAGAAAAGGGGCTTTTCTAAGGCAAGAAGCTATATGCCTACTGCAAGACCACAGAAGAGAGCAGAGCGTGCCAATATCAGGAAAAGAATTTACCTGCCAATTTTTGCCTAATAGCCAGCTCCTTAAGTCAGATGCAAATCACAGCATGTTCTCCATTTTTCTCATCCCTGCATTCCTTGTTATATACCTAAAATGTTAAATACTCAGTTTTCGATTTTTGTGGCCTTCCGGCGTTCCAGCAGAAAGCACTAAACCTGCATCATGAATCCACTGAAGTCAAAGTAAGAGGAAAAAAAAACAACGAAGTTTAAAGCGTTTAATAATGGGGCAAGGACACACATTGGTTTTAAATGTTAAGATCAGGGGGCACCTGGGTGGCTCAGACGGTTAAGCATCAGATTCTTGGTTTCAGCTCAGGTCATGATCTCCTAGTTCGTGAGCTGGAGCCCAAAGTCGGGCTCTGTGCTGACAGCGTGGAGCCTGCTTAGAATTCTCTCTCTCCCTGTCTGCCCCTCCCTCCCTCGCTTGTGCGTGCTCTAATGAGTAAACTTTAAAATAAATAAATTTTAAGATCCGTATTTCCGAAATCAGTTTAACCCACCAATCACCGAAGTTATTTGCATATATACCCCAAGTCAAAATCCAAATGCCCAGATCTGTATGTGCCAGAGATTTTTAACTTTTCAAGTAAAGATATCTGAATGAGAAAATAGTTCTTTTCAGTATTTGGGGTTTGCCTCTTACGGTGATTATTTTGTTATGTTGGGAGAAATGTCTCAGCTCTCGGGTATAAAGAGGCACTGCTGAGTGAGTTCTCGGGATAACTGGACCACTGTACGTCCTGTTTCTGGCACAAGAATGCCAAAATCTGCCTTCCAGCTGTCCAGGAAACCTCGGCCCCCACCCATCTACACTCCCATTATCCAAAAGACAAATAGAGCCATGTGGTACTGATTTTAGTAATGAGGCCAGCCCAGCATGTATACCACTGCAGAGAGCCTTCAAAGCACGCTACAGACATCAACAAAATGAACCACATTTTCCAGACAACTACAAGTCTGAGTCAACAATTCCCCAGGAATCCATGTGGCAGAAGTAATGTTAACTGGGGAAGTTCCAGGATAGAAGCACAGTCTAAAGCAGAACAAGAGTCCCAGGTCACAGAAGCAGTAGGATAAACGGAGTCAGACATTTTAGGGATAACGCTGGGGGGAGCAGCAGCATGACTACACCTGCCTGTCCCCGCAGACGTGGTCGGTCACCTCAATAAAGCCCACCTGTTGTTTTCTACAACTTCCCACAAGTAAGGACAGAAAAGCTAAAGTCAGCATTATGCAAACAAGGAAAAGATTCTACTCTCGTTATTATGTAATTTTATTTAATAACTTTACCCTTTGAGTATATCGCTTCATTATAAATGCAAATGAAAAACAAATTCTGGGTTTGAAGACGCTCAGGAAATAACTTCTCTTCATAACGATGTCCGGAGCTAAGAATAAGCATTTCCTCCCGGGCCAAGTCTCTGGAACCTATTCAGCTTCTGCTGCCTCTTCACCTTCTCCACATTCAAACCGCACAAAGTCTACTACAGACACCCCCTGAGGCTGCACGTACTGTCCCAATGTGATGGAGGGATCCAGCAAGTATGGCTGAGACAACATCTTGGTTTCCGCCTCTCCCCCAGGCTCATCATCCAAAGAGCCGACAGAGAGAGGGGCCATGCCCACCACATGCTGCCCGAGGCGGCGGCCAAGGTCTTCAAGGTTTGCTCTCCGCTCAGATGTCTCGCAGATGACCAGGGCCCCGTACTTCCCCAGCACCAGGTTGTGGGGCGAGGGGCTGTGCATTGCTCCGTGGACATAAGAGCCAACATAGAACCCAGCTGGCACCTTCACCCATGCAGCCCGTTTAAGGGTCATGTTTTCTCCCAGTTTCCCTATAAGAAAGCAAAAGCAGATAACACACTTCCAGGAGATGATGACTGTGGTCGTACCAAAATATGCATAGAGATGGTCAAGTCTGGAAGACAGTCCTCTGCACGCATACTGTGGAAATGCTTTAAGATGGAAAGATACCATCTGCAGTTGAAAGAGGAAAAGGTGTGTAGGCGGGTGGGGGTGGGAGAAATAGAGAACACCTTTATGGAGCACCAACTATGTGCCACCCTGGGATTTAAAAACACAGGCTAGGGTGTCACACAGTTCTGCCTCTTACCGGCTATATGACCTTAGGCAACCCACTTAAGGACATAACCCCATTTACTAATTTATCAAGCCTTGGTTTCCTCCTCTGTAAGATGGAGAGGACACTGCTTAAGATAACCGAAAAGCAAGGTTCTTAGGAGAAATACACAAAGTAACATGTAAAAGCACATAACTACAGTATCTAGCACGCAGCGACACTCAAATGTGGGCTATTGTTACTACCTTAAACTTAGGCTTAGAGACCTCAAGCTACCCGCCCAAGGTCACACAGCAGAGCTGGAGGTAAAACCCACATCTCAGTCCAAAGCAAGTAAGAGTTTTCTTCCTCCCCAAATTACCATCCCTTCCGAAAATCACCGTTAACTGACACAGAAAACTCTTCGTCATCGTCCACTGTATCAGGAAAAAGTCCACAACTCTAAAAGCCCCAGAAAATCCAAAACCCCAAGTCATCAGATAGTTTCAACTTCCTCCCATCAGAAACAAAAAGGCAACATTTTCAGAGTTGTGTTTAAGAACCAAAAATGGGGCATCCGGATTGTTCAGTTGGTTAAGCATCCAACTCCTGGTTTCAGCTCAGGTCATGGTTTCACAGTTTGTGAGTTTGAGCCCCACGTCAGGCTCTGCGCTGGCAGCATGGAGCCTGCTTGGGATTCTCTTTCTCCCTCTCTCTCTCTCTTTCTGCCCCTCCCCCACGCCCATCTCTCTCAAAATAAAAAAAGAACTTTTAAAAAACTTATTAACAAACAAAAAAAACAAACAAACATGATTCCAGTTTTCCGTGTCTCTAACAGAAATTCAAATAAGCTAAAAGGTAGGAAGGAGCAGAAGACCCCAAAAGGAATCTGGGTATATATCCCTGCATTAGCCATAGTTCTGTCTAAGAGTCTTCAAGGGGGGAGTATCCAGAAATCAATCTTAAAACGACTTAAAACTACTCAAAGCATCTCAGAGCGTCTGGGTGGCTCGGTTGGTTAAGTGTCCAACTTCGGCTCAGGTCACGATCTCATGGTTGTGAGTTCGAGCCCCGCATCTGTGCTGACGGCTCAGAGCCTGGAGCCTGCTTCAGATTCTGTGTCTCCCTCTCTCTGTCCCAGCCCTGCTCATGCTCTCTCTCAAAAATAAACATTAAAAAAAAAAAAAAAAAAAAAAAAAAACACCTACTCAAAGCATCCAAACAACAGTTAATTCTCAGAAATTGACATGGCTGAAACACCCAGTTCTTCCAGAATTTCTTAATAAGTCTCATTCACAGCTGTCTGCCTGGTTTCTCATCTATGACTCACTGAATTATACATACTTCAAGATAACCTGATAAAAACAGAATTGATGCCCTGACTGGAAACGTCGGATGAGTAGTAAATTCCCAGCAAGCTCAACCCCATCCCCACTTCCCTGCTTCCATCAAGGACATGTAGAAAGAAGGCAAAATCCCCACCCGTTCTGGCACAATGACCCAGATGTGGTGCCTGCAGCCAGTGGGTTCTGAGAGAACGTACCTTCACAAATTCAGGATCAGATTGTTCTAAAAAAGAGATGAAATTCCTACACACGACACCCCAAAATATTCCTGGATCCCTCCATAAAGAAGGTGAGATGACTTCTGATGTACTGTTTCTCCCAGAGTGTAGAGAGAGAAGTAGTCAATTGGAAGGTGCCAAAGGCCATCCCTGCCTGAAGACATGCTTATTAGTTTGGTCAGTAAAGTGAGGCCTGCAGTGCCGAAAATGATTGTGATTAGCAGCAAATAGCCAAAAAACTAAAATTTTTGCATACAAAGCTAAATTCTTTTAAAGGAATTTCAAAATTCTGACCACACTGGGACCCCGAGGTAACAAATGGCTGGAGCTTGGTAATGGTCTCGTTCAGCAGAGCGTGAGCTTTTCAGGGAGCCTACAGCTCACTAATATCTACCACACAACACGACCCACTTCCCACATTCATAGTATCTGACCCATGTAGGCACATGAGTTTGTGATTCTTGATCTGGGTATGGAGAATACCAAAGATACCATGAGATCCAGTTCTCAACTTCCAGCTCCCACAATGCTGACAAATACTTACCAATTGCTAAGGCTAGCTGATCCTTGAGAGAGCCTTCGGTCTCAGGCCCAGCGGGAAGTTCAGAGAGCTCGGAGGAATTCAAGAAGCCCTTAGCGCATAAAGAAAATGAATGAATCAGTTCTGTCCTATTTAAATGATCAAGAGTCTAGGCAAAAATAGCGTATTTCTCAAAAAATGATTTAAGACAACTACGTACAAATGAATGTTTTCAATAAGCCAAAGATGTAACAGTTCCATTTTTATAAATATTTTATTCTATCACCGCACCACCCCCAATTCCATCCCAATCCCATCCTCTGGCCTAACTTCTTAAATTGTAATTTCCCAGATACCAAGAGCAGTATTTTCAAACAATCATAAAACGTTAAAGCCCAAAGACTGGTTGAATAAACCACGGCACGGCCACACAGTGGAAAACCATGCTGCTGGGAGAAAGGAAAAAGGAAAGAAAGATCTGCAAAGGCTGCTATGGATTATTTCCAGGATACAGTATTAAGTGAAAAAAGCAATTTAAAAGAGCACATGTACAGTATACCACCATTTGTATAAGAAACTAGTATTTATATAAATATGCCAAGTTTTGCAAAAAAAGGTAAAGGAAAACCAAAAACCGATGAAACTGGTTATCTACAGGAGCGGACAAGAATATGGTACAAAGGAGAGAAGTAGCGAGAGATCTGTGTGTGTGCATTACAGTTTTAACTTTCAGAATCTTGTGAATGTTTTACATATTTGTAAACAAAATTAGATTAAAGAGAATTCTGAGGTAAAACTGAAACTGACTAAACAGAAACCTAAGACTAACTATATTTCAAACGAATAACGTAACTTCACAGAAAGGGGGAAAAAAAACTAATCCAAGTAACTTTCAGAATAGTCCTTTGACCACATAAGTGTAAAGACAAAAAAAAGAAGATCAAATAAATCTTGAACTCAATAGGTTTGTTATTTGCAGTGGTCAGGTATAGAAACTCTAAAGCAATTTAGTGTGTATTATACCAATGGGTAAACAAGTAAACATACTGAAGTTGCTAAGAGCCAAGTGTACTAACTGTGAGAGAAGAAAGATACAAATATAGAATGGGGGAAGGAAAGGAAGAACCCTGTGATGCAGGATTAGGATACACACGGACACACACAGACCCACACACACTCTCTCTCTCTCTCTCTCTCTCTTCCTGGATCTCTCTGCTGAAAGAGCATAGCAGCAATGACATCTCAGTCGAAATAAGCATATGTAATGACCAGATCTTGGTTTCTAAAAACTATTCCCCCATGAAAAAGGATCAGGACTCCTTGGAGAAGTGGCCAATTCCACGGGTGGGGCAAGGAAAGTATGACATAGGCCCAAAGTATCTTGTTATGCCACAAAGTAAGGAAATATTCAGAAAATAATGAGCACATATTCAAACGGTCAGTACAGCCAGCTTGCACTGGCCAAATCCAGGGATAATTTGAGCATCAAACTAAATAATGGATCATATAATGAATTACGACATATTGTATAAAATAATCCATGCACTGATGCTAGTACTAAGTAAATCACTAAACACAGGGAGAAGTCTTTCTTACGGTAGAATGCCAACTGATAAAACTAATACATGTAAAAGAAGCTGTAAGAGTTAAAAATATAACCATTACGCAACTATCATAGTAATAAATGACCCTGACATGGGGCGCATGGGCGGCTCAGTCAGTTAAATGTCCGACTTCTGCTCAGGTCATGATCTCACGGTTCGTGGGTTTGAGCCCCACGTCGGGCTCTGTGCTGACAGCTTGGAGCCTGGAGCCTGCTTCAGATTCTGTGTCTCCCTCTCTCTCTGCCCCTCCCCCATTCACACTCTCTCTCAAAAAAAGATAAAATAAAAACATTAAAAAAAAATTTTTTTAATAAATTAAATAACTGACCCTGACAAGAGTCAGTGGATGCTAATACTTTCAGGTAAGTTTTTTGGGGAACTGGACATTTACATAGTCTCAAAGAATCTCCCACACAGATTACTTGTTAATTACAAAGAGGAACAGAATAACTTTACACCCTAACCAAGAAAAGATCAAAATTAACATCAATAATAGGACCAACAGTCATTACATGCTTTCTGATATGATATTCTGAGAAAAATTCAGGATAACTTATTAAATATTCATGCCAAGGGGCACCTGGGTGGCTCAGGGGGTTAAGTGTCCGACTTGGGCTCAGGTTGTGATCTCAGAGTTTGTGAGTTCAAGCCCCGCATCGGGCTCTGTGCTGACAGCTCAGAGCCTGGAGCCTGCTTCGGATTCTGTGTCTCCCTCTCTCTCTGCCCCTTTCCCACTCACGTTCTGTGTCTCTCTCTCTCTCAAAAATAAATAAGCATTTAATATTCATGCTAAAAATCTATACTCTATGAAGAAACATCAGACAAACCCAAACTGAAGATTATTCTGCAGTACTGTCCTAAACCCTTCAAAAATGTCAATGGGGGCACCTGGCTGGCTCAGTCAGAAGAGTATGCTAACTCTTGATCTTGGGGTTGTAAGTTCAAGACCCGCCGTGGATGTGGAGATTATTTAAAAACAGAATCTTTTAAGAAAAAAAGGTCAATGTAATGAAAGACAAAGGCTGAGGAACAAAGAAAGGAGACTAAACAGACATACAACTAATTGCAATACACTTAATTCCAACTGTACTGCACTGTCCTGGAACAGAAAAAAAATTGCTAGCTGGCAAAATATCAATGTTATCATATATTATGTAAATAAAAATATTGTATCAATGTTTAAATTCCTAAATGTGATTACTAAACTGTGGTTACATAGACGAATGTTATTTTCAGGAGACAATGTGTTCAAGGGGAAAAGGGTCTTGATGTCTGCAACATACTTGCAAAAAGTTTTGAAATATTGATGGGACTCCTGGCTGGCTCAGTCAGTTGAGCATACGACTCTTGATCTTGGGGTTGTGAGTTCGAGCCCCACATTCACTGTAGAGATTATTTAAAAATAAAATCTTAAAAATAAAATCAAATAAAATAGTCATAATAATAATAAGATGTATATAAAGAGTAATAAAGCAGGGCGCCTGGGTGGCTCAGTTGGTTGAGTGTCTGACTCTTGATTTTGGCTCAGGTCATGATCTCATGATTTGTGATTCTGCTCTGACAGCGTGGAGCCTGCTTGAGATTCTCTCTCTCCTCTCTCTCTGCTCCTCCCTTGTGCGTGCACTCTCTCTCACTCAAATAAATTAAGCTTTAAAAAAAAGTGATAAAGCAAATGAGTCAAAATGTTAATAAATGGTGAATCTACATAAAAATACAAGTAGCTTATTGTAAAACACTGGCAACTTTTCTGTAAGTCCGAATGTTTTTCAAAACTAAAGTTAAAAATGGGTTGTCTGGGTAGCTCAATCAGTTGAGCATCCCACTTTGGCTCTGGTCATGATCTCATGATGGTTCTTGAGTTTGAGCCCTGCATCAGGTTCTCTGCTGTCAGCTCAGAGCCCACTTCGGATCCTCTGTTCCCCTCTCTCTCTGCACCTTCCTCTGTTCACGCTCTCACTCTCAAAAATAAACATTAAAAAGGGGGGGGGGGGACACCTGGGTTGCTCAGTCAGTTAAGCATCCAACTCTTGGTTTCAGCTCAGGTCATGATCTCATGGTTCGTGAGCTTCAGGTTCTCTCTCTTTCCCTCTCTCCCTGCCCCTTCCCTGTGCACACTCTCTCTCCCTCTCAAAAATAAATACACTTTAAAAAAAATTAGAACTTGTAGCTCAAGTGGCTCATCTACTCAATACTCAATAATCACCACATGGTTTTCCATATAATGACTACTTAATGCCAGTAACAATTAACAGTTACTATGAGCTCTCAAGAGAAGGATAAATAGGAGGAAAAAGGTGGTACTAAACATAAAAAAACTATTTTGAGCAGTTGGTTTGTTTTTGCCTTAATAGTAAGGATGAACCAAAGGTAGACTGATATAATTCCATCCTGATCCTCTTTGGACAAGAATATGCCTATTCTCCTAAATTGTGCCTTCTCCAATACCTGTCTTTAGAAATCCTCTCTAGGCCAATTGTAAGTATAGTTATTTATTTAAACAGTCTTCATTATTTAAGTTACCAGAACCAATTTTGTGTTTTCGGAATACAAAGCTTCCCCTGACTTGACAGACTCTGCCCCACTGGCATTCATTCATTCAACACAGATTTAATGAGCCCGAACCAAATGCTGGGCCCACTCCTCTTTCACCAGACACACAGTAGTGAAAAGACAAGTTCTCACATTCTGTTGGGAAAGGCAATATATAAATAAATAAAAACACAGTATGTAAATATGTAACAAAAAATTTTAAATGAAGCAAAATAAGGGAATAGAGCAACAGGAGGAACGATACTCCTCTCCAAAGAGAGAACATTTAAGCAGGGACAGGAAGCAAGGAAGGGACCCATGAGAACGTCTGAAAAAAGAGAACAGCAAAGACCCGAAGAAAGGGGTGTGTGTGCAAACCCAGCATGTTGACAGTCCCCACAACTCACTTTACTGTATGTGGAGAGCTGATCCTTTAGGTTCTGACAATGCAACAGGGTGCCCAGGGCTACTTGCTGGACCAACTGCTGAAATTTTATATTTCTGGAAACAAAATCTGTCTCACAGTTTACCTGTGGGAACAAAGTTACATGGCTGTGTAAGCTGTTCACTGATGGTTTCCCAAAGTGCCTTAAGATTGCAGAGTAAACCAAGGTACTGTAGAACAAGCTGCACGCTCAACAAGACAGAAATAAATGACCCCAGAATTTAATTTTTTTTCTCTGACTTATTTCACCCAGCATAATACCCTCCAGTTCCATCCAGTTCCATTTCCATCTTGCAAATGGCAAGATTTCATTCTTTTTCATTGTCGGGTAATATTCCATTTTGTGTATGTACACACACACACACACACACACACACACACACACACACACACATCTTCTTTATCCATTCATCAGTCGTTGGACATTTAATGACCCCAGAATTTTAAAGCTGCAGTTCCTCTCCTAGCTTGAAGTCAGAAACTGAATGAAGCGGTTCCTGCTCTGCCAGTGAATTAGCAATGACCCACACATTCAAAAGATGGTTCCATGGTGTCCCCAAAGGATTCATTACTATTCACTACTTGCCTGTGGCTGTAGGCCTTCATCACCTCATTCTCCAGCCTCCTCCAACACCAAACCACTTTGGCTGTCAGCGTGCCTATCTCCTTTTCTCACTCTATACTAATCCCCATCTGATTCTTCGCCAATTAAGGCCCCTAAACCTCCTCTAAAACAGCTACTTGGGCCGCCTGGTTGGCTCAGTCAGTTAAGTGTCCAACTTTGGTTCAGGTCATGATCTCATAGCTCGTGAGTATGAGCCCCACATCGGGCTTTCTGTTGTCAGTACACAGCCTGCTTCTGATCCTCTGTCTCCCTCTCTCTCTTCCCCTCCTCCACATGCTCTCTCTCAAAAATAAATGAAAATTAAAAACAAACAAACAAAAAAAACCAGCTACTTGCTATCCATCAACTAATTAATATAAATTCCTGGCTTTAAAATCTGTTCCAGGAAACAATCCATGAAAAGGTGTAAGGCTACAGGAGACTCACATTCAGAAGCACAGGTTTGCCCCACTATCCAAAAGTAGTGTTCCTATAAAACTTTTCGTAAGCTAAAATGGCACAAAGCAGAAAAATCAATTACCATTCATTTATATGGAAATGGATGCACAAAATAAATGCCCATAAAGCACAGATGCTCACAAAGATCAAAGCTGTGGTGGCTGGAAGCTGAGTATAGTTCATGGGGGAAGAAGTTTGGCAGGGCAACTCTCACTGCTACAGTATCCCCTGCCTCTTTAATGGCCCAGTGCAAATCCAACACTGAATGCTATTCTCACTTTTTGCCCTTTTTCATAAAAGTGAAAGTACTCTTTAGATTTCTTTGGTTAACAAAAAACAAAAACAGGTACAAATATAGGTCTTTTGTAAAAGCAGGGTGTGTAACACAAGCTTTTGAAAACTGGGGGATATCTATAATATTCTTGACTGCTGGGCCTTTAATTGTCAACACACCTGTGCATTTCTACACTTATGTGAATTCACAGTAATTGTGGTCTCACCAGTTTATTTTCCTTTTAAGGTTACTTATTTGAGAGAGAGAGCGAAAGAGAGAAAGAGAGCACACACATGCATGTGGGGGAGGGGCAGTGAAAGAGGGAGAGAGAGAAAATCTCAAGCAGGCTCTGCTCCGTCAGTGTGGAGCCCGACTTGGGGCTCAAACCCACAAGATCATTGAGATCATGACCTGAGCTAAAATCGAGTCAGATGCTTAACCGACTGAGCCACCCAGGTGCCCCACAACAGTTTAATTCCAGCAACCTTTTAGATCTCTTCTTTAAGAATACAAAGTATCTGGACTTCAAGCTGTATTACAAAGCTGTAATCATCAATACAGTATGGTACCGGCACAAAATCAGACACTCAGATCAATGGAACAGAATAGAGAACCCAGAAATGGACCCATAAACATATGGCAAGCTAATCTTTGACAAAGCAGGAAAGAATATCCAATGAAATAAAGTCTCTTCAGCAAATGGTGCTGGGAAAACTGGACAGCGACCTGCAGAAAAATGAACCTAGACCACTTTCTTACACCATACACAAAAATAAACTCAAAATGGATGAAAGACCTAAATGTAAAACAGGAAGCCATCAAAACCCTCAAGGAGAAAGCAGGCAAAAATCTCTTTGATCTTGGCCGCAGCATCTTTTTACTCAACACATCTCCAGAGGCAAGGGAAACAAAAGCAAAAATGAACAAAAGCAAAAATGAATTTCGACATCATCGAAATAAAAAGCTTCTGCACAGCAAAGGAAACAATCAGCAAAACTAAAAGGCAACTGGCAGAATGGAAGAAATTTGCAAACAACATATCAGATAAAGGGTTAGTATCCAAAATCTATAAAGAACTTACCAAACTCAACACCTAAAAAACAAATAATCCAGTGAAGAAATGGGCAACAGACATGAATAGGCAGTTCTCCAAAGAAGACATCCAGATGGCCAACCGACACACGAAAAAATGCTCAACATCATCACTCATCATCAGGGAAATACAAATCAAAACCACACTGAGATACCATCTCACACCTGTCAGAATAGCTAACATTAAAAATTCAGGCAACAACACATGTTGGTGAGGATGCAGAGAAAGAGGATCTCTTTTGCATTGGTGGTGGGAATGCAAGCTAGTACAGCCACTCTGGAAAACAGCATGGAGGTTCCACAAAAAACTAAAACTAGAACTACCCTACGACCCAGCAATTGCACTACTATTTATCCAAGGGATACAGGTATGCTGTTTCAAAGGGACACATGCACCCCCAAGTTTATAGCAGCACTATCGACAATAACCAAATTATGGAAAGAGCCCAAATGTCCATTGATGGATGAATGGATACAGAAGATGTGGTGTGTGTGTGTGTGTGTGTGTGTGTGTGTGTGTATATATATATACACACACACACACACATACATACATACACACAAGGAAGTATTACTAGGCAATCAAAAAGAACAAAATCTTGCCATTTGCAACTACATGGATGGAACTAGAGGGTATTATGCTAAGCGAAATTAGCCACTCAGAGGAAGACAAATATCATATGACTTCACTCATATGAGGACTTTAAGACACAGGACAGATGAACACAAGGGAAGGGAAGCAAAAATAATATAAAAACAGGGAGGGGGACAAAACATAAGAGACTCTTAAATATGGAGAACAGAGGGTTACTAGAGGGGTCATGGGAGGGCAGATGGGCTATGTGGGCAAGGGGCATTAAGGAATCTACTCCTGAAATCACTGTTGCACTATATGCTAACTAACTTGGATGTAAATTAGAAAAACAAAACAATATAAAATAATAAAAAAAGAATGCAAAGTATCTACCACAAAGCTTCACACCCAAGAGGTAAGTGCTCCTGGTCTCTGGAATTCGGACAACTCACCTCTACTAATACAGTTGTGTTTCCTTCCTGAAGTAGCCCAATCAGACCTTCTTTAGTTTTTCTGCCATGGAGTTTGGCAGCTCTGCTCCAGCCTTCCTTCTGGGCCTGCTTGTGGAGCCAGCTCTCTGCCTATAAATTGAAAACAGGGCAGATGACGGAGTCACAGAATTTAGAACTGAAAGGGGCTCTACAGTACGTTCAGGTTCCCGGATTCTTTCTGCTTCTCTTCAATCCTATAACGGAAACTAAAGTAGTCTTTCATTTACTGGCAGCCTACCGACTGCCAAATACCAGCACCAGTGCCTGGTGCTCTGGATAACTTTAATCTTCACAACAACCCTATGGAGCAGACAATAGCATTTTTATTATACAGACAAGAACAATGCAACTCTGAAAGACTAAGTAAGGTGTCCAAGATCACGGTTTAAGTCCTGGTGGGTCTGACTCCCAAAGCCCACACAAGCCCTGTCGGCTCCAAGCAGCAGGAAACAGCACAGCAGTCGTGCTTGGAATACGGATTGTTAACCGTGGGATCCTAAGCTCAATGCTTCTAGGGCCAAAACACAGTAAAAGGGTGAGGTTGTCATTTTAAGCCAGAATCCTATCTAGAGCTGTGCCGTTACGGGTACTGGGCAGCTCCCTGTGATTTACTGCTCCCTGGAAGCACCTCTCTCAGACACTGAGGTCAGGCCCTACTACCCCGCCCCGCTCCGCTCCCCTCGTCCCCCTCCCCCACACCTGTTTGAGATCCCCGCTACAAGCCTCCAGAGCTTTCTTGCAGTTCACAAAGGAGTAACCTGTTTTTCGTCGCAGCTTCAGGAGAAGTTCCTTGCTGGAGGCCGAGGAAGCCAACCTGGGCCCAGTGTGAAATGTGTGCCTGGGCTGAGACGACTGAAGCTGAAGGGGCCCCCCCTGCAGGGGTGAGAAGAAAGGTATGAGAAGCAGGAAGCAGCCAGCAGCTCCGGGAGGCCGAAAGCACGTCAGCAGGGACGCCACCTTAGGAGAGACTGGGGCTCAGGGGGGTGGGGAAAGGCAGCCAACCGGGGACTGGACCGCGAAGAAACACTGAGGTCGGAGGAAGGATGGGACGGAGTCGAACGGGGGGACAGAGGAAGGGAAGGGTGCGTTCCAAGCGCACGGGAGATGTGCAAGGAGAGCAGGACGGTGGCGAGGCCAAGACCCCTCACCGGGCAGGTCCCGGCCCGCGCGACCAGGCAGAAGCGCAACGACCGCAGCAGCGACATCTCTCTGGCCCCCGAGCACACTTCCGGCGGCCGGCGCAGCGGTGAGGCCACAGGCCTACGGCGTGGCGGCGGGACCAAACTTCTCCACCTCAACGCGACAAGCGAGGGCAGCGCCACCTGCTGACCGGGGGTGGGCACGCTCGTCAACTCGGCTTCACTTTCCGCAACTGCATTTCACAAGGAAATTACCGCGCCCCCCCCCCCTCCCCGCCCTCGGTGAAAATAACGCAAACCGTGAGACAAAGTCGTCGCAAAATAACAATCCAAGACATGTGGCAACACTTTATGCTTCTTTATTTCCATTCATCTTTCACAGTCATTATCTATTTAAGACACGACAAACTGCAAGGTAGGCGGGTGGGTTCAGAAATTTGGCCAAGGTGGCCTAGGGAGGAGGTAGGGGTGGAGTGCCTTCAACAAACCCTGTGAATGCTTGTTGAATGAGCAAAATAGTTGTTGAACATCTACCATATGCCGCGAGGTGTGCTACGCTTCACGGAATTGGAGAGGAGTAAACCCCAGCCCTACCCTCCAAGGTAATCTAATGGCGAGAAAATAGGGAACCGGTACCAATGACCACCCAAGACATACCCATGAGAGGAACAGTGACAGGGTCTCTAGAGAGAAAGAAATCACATCCAAACAAGAGGCTCAGTAAAATCTTTTTTCAGGAAAGAGGCTAAGAGTAATAAAGATTTTGACAGGTAGAAATAGCCCTTCCAAGCAGGGAATCATCAAAAAGAATGAAGAAAGCAGGGAGTTTGGGTGTTGATTTAGGGAACAGAGTAGAGATCTGTAATTTGCCCAGGGGTTGCAGTACACGTAGGAAACCAGTTGAAAATGCAATGGAAGGGTGGTTTGGGTCACACAGGATAGACTGAGCACCAAGCCAAGGCGCTTATTCTTGCTGTAGGCAGCAGAAGCCAGTCACAGCTGATTTTGGAAGATCACAAGAGTTTGATAAATGGCTTGAAGGGGAGAGACTGAAGGCCAGGAGGCCGGAGGAGGTGTTATGTGGCCCAAGGAGTATGTAAAGAGAGCCCCAAGCAGAGACACCGCAGCAGGGAGAGAATACAGGTGAAGACAAAACATACTGGGAAGGAAGGACCGACAGCACTTGGAAACCTAAAGAAAAATCAAAGATGAGAAGAACCTAGTACTTAGTGGTCAGGGCTCTAGCTCGAAAATAGATGAAAGAAGCTAGAGTCCAAAGGACAACTTTGCTGCCTATCCCTGGCTTCAGGGCAGGGAGGACTTGACCCAGTTAGGGCCATGGTCCCACCAGACTCTAGAAGCAAGAAGTGGCTGGTCTGAGGCTTCTTCCTTCCTAGCCCCCACCCCCACCCCAGCAAAAGCCAGAGTTCTTTGGATGCAGAAATGATCTTCTTTCCCTTTAAAAGAAATTCCATTAGAATCTGGAATCCATCCTCCTGGAGCAGGACCAGAAAGGTTCAGTGACAGTCTCTCTGCAGCCACTGCTCTCACCTCCCATTTGCCTCCCCTGCCCCTAGAAATCCTGGACACCCTCCTATCTTCCTCCTCTGAGAACAAGAGCTGGGGACTTCCTTTGTGCTCTAACCCAGTGCTGTTAGGGCTCTGAGACTCCTAGCAAGCAGGCACCTTCCTGCGCTTGCCTAAGAGCATCGGGGCGGGGGGGGGGGGGGGACAAAAAAGGAGGAAAGAGAGAGGCGAGGGAAACCCATACTTTTCTTCCTTGTGTTTATGGCTTTGGAGATATGGCAGTTTCTTTCTTAGGACAAGGGGTTCAGAGGAACAGAAGGGTGATGTCAAGCAGGTCTTGGTTCCCTGTGCCTGGCCCTATAGATGTTGACATTTTCATCCTCATCCCGCTGGGCCAGCTCCAGTTGGAAATGCTGGGGGAGGAGATGCTGAAAGAAGCTCTCTGTCCCGTGCTCCTCTCTCATCTTGGAGGCCAGATAGATGGTGCCATGGGGCCCGCATAGGTGCTGAAGGGTGCCCAGCAGCAGCGGGAAGGTGGGCTCCAGGTACACGATATCGGCCCCCAGCACCAGGTCATAGTCTCCGGGGAAGACATGCTGGTCAATCCCCCAGGACAAGGCGCGGACCTGGGCCCGGCCTCCAGCCGGCACATTGGCCTGGACGTTGCCCCGGATCTGCTCTAGGGCCAGGGGCAGGTCAGTGATGGTAACATCCCCCCCTGAGAGAGAGGAAGGAGGAGAAATGCAAGTCAGAGGGACCAGTCGAGGGGTCTTGGCTCCTGCCCAGAAGATCCAGAGACCTCAGGGCCTAGAGGACAGTGTCTTGACAGCCCAAAGTGAACATTTTGGCTTTTAGTTACTCTCACCTCCATCTCACCCACTGCCGTTCTCATTACATTCTATAACATCAGCGTTCCCTCTGAGCTAATCTTCAACCTCTCTGCCCAACACACAACAATCAGCTGTCAGCAGAAGACTGGGCAGGACCAAGCTGGACATGGGCTGCGCACCCAGCCTCTACTGACCGAAACCAAACTTCATGGGTCAGGAAAACTTCCCAGAAGACATGACCTCAGCAAGCCTTAAAGAACAAGAAGGAGTTAGTTAGTCAGGTGGAGCCTTCCAAGCAGAGAACAGAAAGTACAAAGGCCTGGTGGTGAGAGGCATGCATATTCAAGGAAGGCTGAATCTTAGGGCATGTGGAAGGGAGGAGAAAAGTGTCAAGACAAGAGAATAATGACGACATGCTGAAGAGACTCAGGCTTGATCCCGAGGGTGGTGGGTTTTATAGGTAGAGGCAGAGAGTGAAGATAATCAGATTAGCACTTCAGAAAGCTTCATTCATGCAAGAAATACAGGTATCGAGCACCTACTAAGTTCTGGCAGTATAGAGGTGAGCAAGATAAAACCTCAGCCTTCCTTGGGTTTTATTTCAGAGTTTTTGAGTTTTATTTTACACTAGGTACTGCAAAACTAATCATGATCATGATGACTGTTACAGAACAGGAAGTACTAAGGATTCCTTTCTTCGTGAATATTTGTTAGGTGCCTATATGCCAGGTGCTGAGAATACAGCAGTGAACCAATCAGCCAAGAATCCCTCCGCTCATGGGAATTATGGTCTAGTGGCAAAAAGTGGACAATGAACGAAACAAGTAAAAGGAATGACACTGTACATCAAATGGTAATAGGCGCTATGGTGAAGCGTTAAGCAGAGAAGGGGGAGAACTGCTTATGGGAGGGGGCAGGGAGTGTGATTTTAAATTGAGTGGTTAGGAAAAGCCTCACTACACACATTATGTTTGGGCAAAGACCTGAAGGAAATGATGGAGCAAACCATGTGGACCTCTCAGGCTAAAATGTACCAAATGAGGGACTGGCAAGGGCAAAGACCTTGCACCAGAAGTGTGTCCACAGGAAGGCCAGTGGCTGGAGCAGAGTAGGTGAGGAGGAAAGCATGGGCCAGATCCTCACCAGGGCCTTGTAAGGAGGCTGTGAGAAATTTGGCATTTACTGAGACAGGAAGCTATTGGAGAATTTTAAGTGGAAGAATGGCATAAACTGACTTCAGCTTTAAAAGGATCACTCTGGGGGTGCCCAGGTGGCTCAGTTGGTTAAGCATCCAGCATCAGCTCAGGTCATGATCTCGCGGTCCATGGGTTCAAGCCCTGCATCAGGCTCTGAACTGTCAGCACAGATTGAACCTGTTTCAGATTGTGTCTCCCTCTCTCTCTCTCTCTCTCTCTCTCTCTCTGCCCCTCCCCTGCTTGTGCTCTCTCTCAAAAAAGAAATAAGCATTAAAAATAAATATCTTTTAAAAGGATCACTCTAGCTGCTATGATGAGAAAGGACCACAGAGGGGTAAGGCCAGAACCAGAGACCAGTTAGGAGGCAGCTACACTGACCCAGGTGAGAGGTGATGGTGGTTTAAACCAGGGCAGTAGCAACATCTCAGAAGTGGTCAAATCCTGAATGATTTTGAAGGTACAGTCAACAGGATTTGCTGACAGACTGGATACGAAATACTACAGAGAGAGAGACAGAAGTTGAGGACGGGTCCAAGATGTTTGACCTGACTGGCTAGAAGACCGAATTGCTATGTACTCAGAGAAGGAAGGCTATAGGAGGAGCAGGACCAGACATGAAGATCATGGGTTCCTTTCTGAACACACTAAGCATGAGATGCCCCCCCCCCCCCCCCAGACAGTGAAGATATCAGTACGCAGGAGGTTCCATAAACAAGTCTGGAGATGGAAAGGAGGGAATTATAGAGTCATCAGCATAGAAAGGTTATTTAAACCCATGAGGTGATGGGATTGCTCAGGAGTGAGTGTAGACTGAAAACAGAAGGGGTCAAAGGACTGCTCCTGAGCCCTGGGACACTCAAACTTCCATTTGTCAAGATAAAAAGAAACCAAAGGAGATTGGAAAAGAGTGCCAGTGAGGTAAGCAGAAGGCAGAGGTGTGGTACTCTAGAAACAAAAGGAAGCATCTCAAGGAGGAAGGGCAGTCATATGCTGCAAAGTCAAGTAAGGTGGTTTCATGGCCGACTCTGGTTGGAAATAAAGTTGGAAATGAAACTCACAACCTTGACTCCTGCAACTGGGGGTGGAAGTGTGGAACAGATGGAGGGAAGAATAGTAAGACAGGTACTACAGACAATGACAAGTAACTCTTTTGAGGAGTTTTGTTGTAAGCAGAACAGAGAAATGAGGTGGTAACTGAAGGAATATGGACAACCAACAGTTTCTTTCTGAGATAGGAGAAAATATACCAGATAGATAGATAGATAGATAGATAGATAGATAGATAGATAGATATAGATATAGATGCGTATGCATGCATAGACACACACACATAGAATGTTCCAGAGACAAGGAAAAACTGATAATGCAGCGGGACTGGGAGTGGGGAGGAGGTTTGCTGGAACAATGTCTTTGAGCAGATGAGAAGGTTCGGGGTCTTGTGAGAAGTGGAGGGCTTGACCTTAACTAGGGGCACAATGTGTTCATCCATGGTAACAGGGGAGAAGACAACCCTTAAAAAAGATATAGACAGGTGAGGAGACGTTGTGATAAGAACATGTGGACATTTTCTATGAGAAAATAGAAGCAA